TTAGTAGTTGCCTGGAATGAGATACCACAGGAGGACATTGACCACCTGATCAGAAGCATGCCTAGGCGCGTTGGAGAATGCGTAGCACATCAGGGTGCATCCACACATTATTAAAGGTCAAAGGGCTTTAAAGCAGTGCAATCATTTTGAAATTTTTATCATTTACTTATTATGCTTCATTAAGTACTTATACAAAATTTTATTAAAATAAAACCATTTAAACTGGGTGTTCGGATTTATATGTCACTTAGTATATTAAGTGATATCGATTAATGTCACCGTCTTAGACGGACCATAATTGTTACTTAAAATAAAAAAGGTTGACTATTTTACTTCCCACGCATATTCTCGAGAAAATATTGCAATCACGAAAAATATCTGAAGTCAGTTACTAGGTTTTCTGGATGTTATACAAATATGATATGTGCAGCACGAAAAACCATGTCTCTCATTTCTCTCTGTCTGACTATCTGTCTGTTGGTCTGTATTTCTGTCCGCTAATCCTTAGCCCATCTATAATTCAGTTACCACTATGCCAAGGACGAAAAAGCTTCGTAGTTTTTGGAAATCGAAAAATAAAAATCGCTCGTGGGGCGAGGGAGATTTATCTCAATCTTTTTTGATATGTTAGTATGTATACAGGGTGACTTCGAAGTTGAGTTATTTATTTTAACAGTGAGTAGATCTGATCAAAAGAAATGTTTTTTCCTTTAACATTTTTCTGGTAAAATTAAAGTAACAAAGTTATAGCCCTTTAGAAGTTTGAGTACCGCCCTGTCTCAATAATAATATTATGTGCTCGTGTTTGGCAACAACGGATATAATCCGCGTTATCGGTTCATCGCATCGGAAACAAAAAAGCGAAAGAATTTGAAACGTTTATCACGATGTTTTTCGTCAGTCGGTAACGCGTGAGTGAATAGTGGTGTTTGTTGCGTGGCTCAAACGAAATAAAAAATAGCACATGTTTACGAAAATGCTGAACTTGTGGACATGATTCTTATTTACGGGGAGTCTTTACAAAATGCTGCCGCGGCATCACGGATTTGTGCGAATCGGTTTCCCAATCGAGTGCAACCAACCCCTCGTGCCTTTGTTAATGTAGTACAAAGGGCTCGTGAATCAGGAGACTTAAGACCTTACAGGGGAGGGCCTGCCGGTGCTCCAAGACCGCACGATCAAATACAGGTCCGCACTGAAATACTTGTCGGGAGGATACTTTATAAAACAAGGTAACATTTTTTTTAATGTTTTTTTTATTTTTACACACATATTTTGGTTTATCTTCCTTCGACAATCATTATCTGAAAATTAATGACTCAACTTCAAAGTCACCCTATATATGCAACCAACCTCGGTAGTTCTACGCACCTATTAGACATATTTCACACAGCCCCTTCCGAGGAAAGAAGATTAATATAACATACTATAATAGCGCTTTGATAACTGATTATTGACAGCCTGAGAAATAGTAATTTTATATACTCCAAAATGGCGTCCAACTGCCATCTTGAAATGTTAAACTCCCACCGTTAAGCCAAAATGTTTCATTAAAAGCAGATTTCTATAACGCCGAGCATCGTCTGACTGGCACCGTGGTGATTCAGAGATGTGAGCCTTGGATTTTTATATTAACAAAAATGTCATTTAAGGTTACGTATGCACCGCCGTAATCGATATATTGTTGAATTCCAGTTATGTGACTGTCCGCTGCTAGCGACTTGATTGCTGGTGCTGGTATGAAAACAATCCAAATTGAGCAGCGAAAAACAAGCCAAATTTGGATAGACAAGTACAAACCATCTCAATGATAATCGCGAGATGATCTTAATTTATGGTTTACTTGTTTGTCGTAGGCTGCATGATTTTTCATTGATGTCCATCTTGTACCTGCAGCAAAAGGTGTAACTAATTGAGCATAATTGTATACCTATACCAGTTAGTTAGATTTAAAGCAGGATTGAAGATAGCCGTAATTATAGGAAGGTGGCTCACCCGTGTATCCCAATTTCTGCTATATAAAATAAGACTTATGTATCAGTACTTTTAAAAACAAAAAAATACATAAAAGATCCAAGTGGCCACCTGATCGAAAAGCTCCAAACACTTTCAAAATCCTTTCTTGAAGATGAATGGTAGAATTACGTTTTCCAAACTTTCTCCAAATAAAAACGTTATCAAATTTCGTCCCAAAATTAACGTTTCGTCGACTGTACGACCAATAAGGGCCGATGACGTTCAGAATTGGGTTCTCGGCCACTGTTCAAACATGACGTCCCTCGCCTCAGCAACTATGAAGTCCATTTCTTGACTTGATGACACTGCGTGTGTTCCACTCGAGTTCTGGAAATCTAGTTGATGACAGTCAGTAAAGTTGGGTGGATGAAGTACATAGAATAGGTCGATCAGTAGAAGATCATTCATAAAGCATAGAGGTGTGGTCTGAGGCTTCAGTGAGCGAAGCTCGTGCACCTTGGGAAAATTCTGTTCAATATCTTGGTGTTACTCCACACAATCTAAAACCTCATAATCAAGTTCCAATCATGGTCTACAAAATTTGGCTATACAAGGTCTCCACCCAAGTATTGTAATTCTGTAGATATGAGATACAATCTAGCAAATGTTAAGCACAAACGATAATCGAATAGGTCATAATAAAATAAACTAGTATCCTGTGAACAATGATACAGAAAAAAAAGAAAAAAGATCGGCACGAGTTGAGACTAGATCCTACGACTTTAATGCCGATAGAAGCGCGTACTTTTTTGTATAAAGGCGTCTTAGTATGCTTGGCTACAACCCTAGATGAATATTTTACAAAATTCTATTATATCGTCAGGGCCGACATTTATAGCTTAATAATATGAACTGAAATTTTGAACCTATTAATTGGTTACGAACAGCCCTCGTATGGGTGTCCGAGAATACGGTTAGACCGTAAAATTTGCATACTTAGTACGATTTTGTGTACAATTTAGAGGGTTTTGAGGATTTGCCCCCCTCCCCCTTCTTGGGAAAATCTGCTGCCCCCGCTCCCCGCTCGTCAAATGTTTTTGTGGCGTGTACACTTTCCTAAAAAGTTGTCTCTAGCCGATGATCGGCCCTCCCTGAGAAACGAGAGCGCGAGAAGGGTGTATGATGATGAATTTTGTTTGGAACTATTTATTTCAATTTTGTTGCGACTTAGTGTTTTAGTTTATTTTTTTACCGATGGTAATAAAACAACACATCCTGAGTTATGGTTACATTTTGCGACAGCGAGCGGTCGGAAAATGTACCAAATACCATTACGCAAAACAAATTATCACTGCCTACGTGTACGCAGGTGATAACTATTTCGAAGCAGGACGACACTCCCCCAATGAGCGCTAGATGGGTTCTGACCAAAATCGCTCATTTATGATCATGGAAGTGGAAACCTTGCATTGGAATGTATGAGATGCGGTGTTGCCAACCTAATCAATGATGCGATGTTGCAGAATTTGGGGCGATCCTGATCTTTCATTTCGACCTAAAATGGAGCGTCGTTAGGTCCGATCCGGTATCGATCCTAAACAGATTCGACACAACATGCATCTTAATTCAAGAAATTGGTGTAACGTATTGGCAACGCGGCAAATTGTCTCGTCACCGTTGCTAGGCAACTCGGTGATGAGCTTCGCTATTCAGCCGGCTTCTATCTCTTTCTAACTTATGTGTCTATGTAGACTTCTCTCTCGTACACATTGGACTCAAGCTGTCAGTCAAATTTGGTTCTCAGTGCCAATATTAGCCATTTCAGGATTTTTATACAAATTTTGTTGAAATCGCCACAGTCTCTCGGACTGTTGTGAGAATAAGAAGTGTCATCATGTCATCGGTTATAATTAGCATAGGCATATACCTACCTACACCTTTTATCACCGGTTTCAAAAATAGGGGCCCTGAGCCCTGTCTCAAAGACAACCGCGAGAGTTGCGTGTAGGCTGCGGCGTAGCGTCTCGCGACCGCCGTAACCTTGCTATACCATAAAAATGTAATTCCCTACGAATCCGTCAGACTGACTGGTACGAAACGAACCAAGCACACGGATCTTTTAGTTCATGTTCGGTGTTCTTTCGTTTCGTAGCCGCTCGCCGTGCGATGACTTGCAGGGATTAGGCTCGACGGACGCCTTAACGCGGCGCTCGACGTCATCGTAACTTTTGGCTTCGCGACGTGACGCGCATTCGGAAATATTCCAAGCCATATTTATATGCGTATGCAGCCGGCATTTTATCAGTTAAAGAAATGCTGGTATTGAGTATGGTGTGTTACTTTAGTTTTAATAATGATAGATCAAAACAGCCCAATTTATTCTGCAGCCCGGCCAAAGTGACAATCTTTCCAATTCAAGGGTCGTGACCTGTGACAATGGTCATCACCATAATCAAGAGTCATTGTGTATCCTTTACAGGAAACATGAGTTTAAAGAAACTAGCAAACTCATGCCCTTTTTGCTTTCCAAAAGTAGAACCAAAGTGGCAGTCTTTAAAAATTTCATCATTCAAGGGAGTTGCCCATGGTCGTGGCCCCTAGATAGGCACTGATTTTTGAAATCGCTTGACAACCTACCTGGTGGATGGGTTTTCAACAATTTCGTGGGTGGGTTTTCAACAATCTAGTCAAGTCGATGATTTCTAAGATCTTTCCAATCCAAGAGTCGTGACAAGTGACGATGACAATCGATGAATCATGGATCTAACTCCTGGATATGCACTAAGTTTGAAAATCACTAGCTAGTTGCCTTGGAGACTACGAGCCCCTTTCCACTTCAGTTGGCCCACTTCAAGATTTGTACCAAAATATGCCTTTATACACTAAACATGACGAAACTATTTACTTCTAAAACAATTTATTTTCTCAAAAACGTTTTAGATACATTCTAGTCGTAAAAAATACATATTTGAAATCACTTAGACCTATAACAAGTTAAGTTAACAAAGCAACAATTAAAAGATTACCATTGGGTAACATCACCTTTATTTTTTATTACGGCCGAAATTCTTTGGGGCATAGTGTTAACCAAGTTTTGGCAAAAATTTGGTGTAAAACAATCCCATATTTCTTGAAGCTTTTGTCTCGGCTCGGTGATTGTACGAGCAGGATGTTTTCGTAGAACCTTTTTCATCTCGTGCCACAAAGTTTCAATAGGTGATAGATCTGGACTGCTAGAAACCCATTTCAAAAGTGGTACATTATTTTCTTCCATCCATTTTATAGCCTTTTTTGAGGTATGGCACGCTGCACCATCTTGCTGAAACAAAAAATCTTGGCCGGATGTCAAACATTCTTCCATCACTGGTAAAAGCGATTCTTCTAAAATTGCCAAATATTTGTTTGTATCCACATTTCCATCAATAAAATGAAGTTTTCCTACTCCTTTTGATGACATACTGCCCCAGACCATAATGGATGCTGGAAATTTCACTTTTCTCTTCAGACAGTCAACATGGAATGCTTAATTTTGCGAATAACTCTACTGCAACTGTCACCAACACAAACTTCGAGTCGGGCCTCATCACTCCATTGTATTGCACACCATTGTTGAGGTGTCCATTGTCCATGTTCTTTAGCCCATCTAAGCCGATTTTTCTTTTGCAGTGGAGTTAATAGTGGCTTTTCTTTCTCCTATAAACAAGTTGTGCAACTTTAGGGTTTTTGCTTCACTTTTTTTTATAAGAAAACTTACCTTGCAAGTGCTAAATCCCAGTTTGTGGGCCTCTCTGTGAGTTGTGGACCTCGAAATTGTCCTTCCAACAGCGTCACTCCACAGAGTACTTAATTGTAAATAATTGGCAGGCCTGTTTTTCACGATTATTCTTCTTAATGCTCTTCGGTCGGCATTTGTGATATTACTTTTTTCCACATATCGTGGCTTAATATTAACTGAACCAGTTACGTTATATCTTCCAACAATATTTCTCACACGGTACCGGGATAAGTCTAACAAAGTAGCAATTTCTGAGTTTGATTTCCCAGAATTAAAAAATTTAATTATCAGTAACCGAATTTTCTCACAAAAAAACTTTCCTCTACCCATTTTGAAAACCTTAACTACCCAAAACTATTTTAAACATATCCTGACAGCTGTGATTAATAAAAACAATTGTCATGGCTTTTATTTTTCACAGCCACCTATGCGTTATAGACTTATTTTGCATTGAAATGAAAATAGGTTGATATGCTGTAATTGCAACATGTGTTAATTTTATGCTGCAAATTTGATTAGGGAGTGAACAAGTTGGTGTTTTCTACTATATATTATTCATTGTTAATATTTTAAACCTATAACACCCTGCTACATTTTTATTATTTGTGTTTGATAAGAAAAAAACTAAGATTTCAGTAGTTGGGCCAACTGAAGTGGGAAGGGGCTCGTACATAAGATCCAGGATTTTTGTCGTCTGCCGAAAAAGATTTATTATAAATGTTCATAAAATGAGGGTTTCTCCCGCTTAGTCCAGACATGTGTTGCTGATGATTTAACGAACAGATAGAGGTCATCCTTTTCTCTTCGAAAGAAGAACAATGCCTCAAGCAAAGGAAAGGTTTGAAGGTATTGTGGGCCCACAAAACAACCTTGCGAGTCAGATTGTCGCCATCGTGGGCCTGCGGTTAGGTCGCTTTGGTCTTTAGCAATTGCTGCCAATCATCCAATGAGAGAGCCACGAAAGCTTTTTAGGTTTTACCATCGTTAAAATGACTGGCGGATATTGCATAAAATGCGTCCGGTACATTTACTTTAACATCTGCAACATTTTGTCCTTACAAGAGTGTCGGCACGTGTTGCAAATTGAAATGTTCGCGGCACTAGTTATGGTAAACGTGGCGCGCAATCGTTTGGCGCATTTTTGCCTTCCATTTCAACAAATTTCCATCACAATTTTGGGACATGTTTCAGGGCAAACTGTAATGGAAACAAATTTGTCAATTTGGCCGAACTGTCAAGAAGATTGGGTAGCCGTACTATGGACACATACAAGTAGAATTAAGCGAAATCTGCTTCCAAACTTTGCTAACAGAAATGTTTATTAGGTCACTTATCTGCTCAAAATAATGTTAGGAAACTCTTTCAGATAGAGGGTTCTTTAAAAAAGTATTTTTAAAGGACTCCTAATAATCCGTTTAACTTTCACCCAACTTTTTTAGTAGTTGTAAATCTCTAAATGCGGACCAGTAACAATACACGCATCGGCTACGTGGTGTTTATTTGTACCCCCCTTATGTTACATAGCAGTTCACCAATGTGGAGTCTGGAAATGTAAAAACATTCAAGGTGATTTGAGAAAATATATTTGTTGCATTTAAATATTTGCGGCCCACTGTTCTTCTGGGATGACCACCAATCTATAGTCTATTTACTTGTGCCCTGATTGTATTCCGACGTTACCATTGTGATTACGTATCGCCGACGGTTTAGGCTTTTCGACATTTCTCTAGCACTAGTCGAATTTACCTGTAATATAAAATCAAACGATTCAACTTGGAATAGAGCCACAGAATCACGATTTTTCGTTATGACAGTGTTTAACGAATATAATATTGTTTTCAGCACATTAAAAGTTGTCTGTAATTTTTGTACACAGGTTTCATTTATCTTGTTGGTATTTCCATTGGTCTGAAATATTAATTTGAATCTCTTAAAAGTAACCTCGGACATGCTTCACGTATATCAGTGTCTATAAACAAAACATTTGAAAATAATCTGTGATAAAAACGTGATAATGGCGGACGTAGTAAGTGACCAGTTTAAAAGGATGAACTTAAGGACAAAGACAATTGGCGATGAAAGGATAAGAAGAGCTAAGGAGAGAAACGAGGATGTTGCCATTCTATCCATGGAACTGCCTGGCGAGAAGTCAAAGTTCAGATGCCATCGTGGGGACGAGTGTTTGCACGGCGATCCGACTAGCTTGCCATTAGGTGTGTTTTTGAAGTTTAAATTAAAATTAGTAAGTTTTATGTCCACTAGACATTGTTCAGTCACTGGTCTAAAGTTATTCCGTGGCGTATCTTGAAACTTGAAGGTTTAAGATCTTGAAAATGGATATCCATGTTTTGTTGGTCGCCGAATGAAACTACATACGTTGGATTGAAGATTTACTAACGTTTCGACCACCTCGAATTACCCGAACTGGATGCAAATTTTGTAAAACGATCACTGAGTGCCGAAAGGATGTACGAAATTGCTACTATTGTTATACATCGCCGCACAATTACCAATTGGAATTGAGTAAGATTAATTGAACGTTGTCTTTAATAAAAAAAATGCTACAGATCTGTGATGCCAGCTTTTTTGATTAAAAGATATTGCAGTATATTTGCATTGCACTTGAAATTAAAAGAGCATAAAAGAATTTGCTAATTAAAAAAAAAATATGATGCTAGATGCTATGCAACAATATGATCGTTAAAGATGCTGGCATTCCTGGAGATCATCAGAGGTAACTTAGAAGAAACAGTATTTTAAATTTTTACTGAAGCACTTCAAGTTCATTTCAAGTAGACTTTCAGTTGGTTTATTATTTCGTGTTCACCTTCCCAATATGATAAATATGATCAAAACTGCTCTAATCATACTGTACAATTGTCATCCATCATAAAGCGAAGTTTTCTATACGGTATGCGTACTTAAAAATGCTATGCTAACATTGGAAGTAATAAAACGTGGAATAACAAGTACTAATTGAAAAGTAAATGTAATATTAACAGCAAAACACGTTTTAAACCTTTTACAGCGTATTTGTTTTGTTGTGCCGAATACCCAATCCCAATAATTATGTAATTACTGCTGTTTTGAAGATTTGCAAAAGATGGTAAGGTACGATTTAAACATTACCGTTTTCAAAACAAAGAAGATGTTTGTTCGATATAATGAGCATAAACATAAATCGTTTAGTTTTGCTGTCTGAGCCTCATAGCCCTCCAAAATGCTGAATATTTATTAAGTTACGTTTCCATTATAATAAAAGGTCGCAACATGTGCCGACACATGTGTCAGAAATTTTTATAAACATAACTTTGTAACATCCAACGGTAACATCTGATGCCGGAATTTTTACAGGGAAAGATATTTTCGTAACTTTCTAAAACGTTTTTTGTACCATTCAAGTTTTAACTTACCAGATCATGTAGAATTATTTAGTGTTGTTTACGACGAAGAAAGTTATCAAGATACAGAATAAAGAAGTTGGGTTGGTGCATCTCGATCTCTCAATCTTAACGTCTGATAGTATAAAGAACAGAAGCTTGTTTGTGGTTGCAGTATATTATCAGCGGGCGCATCCGTTTATAAACATTCGTTTCTGTTTATTTTCCTTGGTGTAGGAAATTACTACAAAAAACTGATTTCAATCTTAAGACTGTCCAGATGCGTAATCGACATCGTACCATTGAAGTGATTTATGACTTACGAGTATTAAGTGGTTTAATATCATAAGTACCTAGCACATTTAATAAAAAACAAAGAAGTAAGATTACTGTACAAAACATCTGGTAGCTCTGTTTTTCATATGGCCGAGTCTTCTACACAAAATATAACAAAAATACCACTGCTTTATTGTAGGATTCTACCTCAAAGTGTGATTGTTCTGTCACGCTGTGTGGCTCCGTTTCTAGTAATTATATAAAAAAACTTATACTAACAGAAAATTTTCTGAACATGCTCTAAAATGTAGAGGTTATACGTCGGGAAGAGTATCTACTTTTTCCTTTTTCTTTACTTCCTATGTGACCGGTACGTATTGCAATGGCGAAAAATTTCGAAAGTAAGATATGTGTTCTGGACGTTGTATGACATCTGCATCCCGAAAAACTATCACTATTTCCGTCGAATTTTTCACACAATCATACTACTATACCAAGAACGAACAATTTTTGTAGTTTTTGAAAATCAGTCCAGTGGCGGCGGAGCTAAGGGCAAAAATGAAAAAAATATTAAAAAACCAAACTTCATTTCAGAGGCTCCTGATCATTTTCAGAGTAATTTTTGTAGGGCTTAAACATGGCGGTTGAGAGTTGTGGGAGGCGTTAACATATTTATACGCTTCCAACCCCAGTCATTATACACACCTATTAGAAGTATTTCATACAATATTTGCCCTTAGAACTGGAATAATATATATATATATACAGGGTGTTCCTTAATGGTATGCGAACCACTTCAGATCTAGTACGTAGTGAAAGTTAATAAAGTTGCATATTTTTTAATGCAAAAATAATTTTTAGCTTTAACAGTGGCGTGCGTACGGGTATTGACTTCGATATTTTTTAAGGAAAAAATGGTACGCCAATGGTTTTTTGCCAAATAAAAATTATTTTTGAGTTCTACGTTCAATTTGAAACAAATGATCTCTATTGAATTGTTTTCCTTCGATGCGCCATTTTTGAGTGAAAAAATAAAAACCG